GTGTGTGCCGACCACCCAGACCATGGCTCTGGTGTCGGGAGTCCACCCTTGTCCTTGCGTGGCCCCCGCACCCACCCCACACCCTGGGGAGAACCCGGCCTGGGCAGTCCCTGGCTCTTCAGATGGAGGCGCAGATGCGTGCCCCACCTCGGCAGGAAGCGCTCAGGGGCGTTTTCACTCCCAGACCCCGCGCAGGGCAGGCGGTCCTCCCTCCCCGCTCACGCAACGCAGGAATGCAGGGTCAGGCAGAAAGAGAACGGACGGGGGCACACGTGGCAGCTAGCGGAATGCACACGGGAAGAGGTCTGGGCAGATCCCGAATGGGAGACGCCTCTAGGTTCCCGTCCCCAGCACCGGCTTGAGCCATCGTGTGTGGCGCAGACCTGGAAACCGTCAAGGCGTCCTCTGTCCCAGAAGGATGAGCTTGTGTTCAAAGTGCACGCGGAGGCAACAGAAAATTATAAGAGCTGGCGACTCGGGGCTTACGCAGAGCGTGTCTGGACACACGCAAATTAAAGGCGGTAAGAATCTCCGAGCGTGGCAGAGTGCTCCTCGGGCGCCGTGCGCGATTGTGTTCAATATTGGCCTCTTCACGTGGCCCTTTGGAAGAACGAGTTAGAAAATGGATGCTGGGCGCTGCTGGCAGAGGTGCCTTGTCACACAAGATGGCGATCGCATCGCGGCAAGGGAACTTGACTAGTTCATTAATCTTCTTTTCCCCTTTTCCTTGTGAGTGCTTCTTCCACTCACACCCTCTTCATAGTCAGACTCCTCCCAGGACGGCCCAGTCTTCGGGGCGTTGGGATGCAGTTGCCCCTGGTTCCGAGGACACGGGCGAGGCTCAGGAGGCTTCTCCCCGGGGCCTGAGCTGTGTGTGTCTGGGCCAGAGGAGGCCGAGAGCTGTGGCTTCTGCTGAGCCAGCACCGAGCGCTGCATCCCGAGTGACGAGGACCAAGTGCTGCGTGACATGTGTGTATGACGCGTGTGCCGCCCACATGTACGCGCCTGTGTGCAAATGCGTGTACATGCGCCTTTGTGTGCAGCGTGTGTGGTGGGTGAGCCTGCTCGCCCCGGGCTGGTGTGTGCCGTGCTCGTGGGTCCGCCAGGCACAGCGAGAAACGCAGAGCCCGGCGTCTGCCCTGCCCCAGGCACACGCCGTTCAGCCGGGAGCACCCCTGCCCTGCAACAACAAACACGCGGCTCAGCGTCGGGCTGAGATACTCGAATTACAAGAGGAGGAGGAGGGATCTCTGGGAGGAGGCCTGGGGAGGGCGTCCTGTCCCGGGGGCTTCACTCAGGGCCCCCTCAGCCTTCACCTGCACTCGATACGCAGTTGTTTCGTCAGCCAGTGGTGGTCGGTCATCCGAGTTGTGTTGTGTTGTAGCCCGTTACTTTTTGCCATGTTATTTTCTAAACTGTGCTCTCGTATTGACGCTTTTCTTGCATTAGTTTAGGATTTCCGTTTAAACGGGACTTTGGTGTGTTCGCCGTGGGAGGTTTGTTTCCGTAGAAAGATGCGCAGGCATTGCACTGCTCTCCTCCCTGCTCGAGGCGTGTGGTCTGTGACTGCATTGAAGGGTTAACTGTCGCATGTCGCTTTCTGGGCGGTGTCCTAGGAAGTCGTTCTGGTGTTTGGGCCCCTTCGACCCAATTCTGCCTAAGTCTGCGCGCTGATGAATGAGCCCCTGGCGGAGGAGGAGCGCTGGCTCGCGTCGGCAGGGGGCCGGCCGCTGTCGCAGCTGCGGTGCACACGGGCAGCGTTCGCCGGGCTGCTGTCCCGAGCGGCTGAGGGACACGGGTGAGTCTGGGGCCGGCTGGGGCTGGCCTCGGCTCGTGGGCATGGCATCGCTTCCCACCGGGACTTCGGATGTGGGCACCTCCTTCAGCGTCATGGGGCGTCGGTATAAAAGGAGGCGCAAGAAACGCTCTGAGAGGAAAGGTAATTCACGTAGTTTTTATCCTAAAGTGTCAAGTGTTGGTCTTTCAGCGCAGCATAGGGTGTTTTCTGGGGTAGCCTGCTTTGTGAGTTAGTCTCCCTGATGCCTGCTCCCTCCGATTTCCCTCATGAAGCCCCTCTGCTTTTCTGTTGGCATTTTATAGAATTTTAGATAGGAGCACTTAAGGAAAATCTAAAATCATGTCTGTAAATATGTGTAGAAATCATTTTTGCACCAAAGTCTGAAGTATATCTTTGGAAAGGTATTTACGAAACCTTAAAAGTTTGTAGCTTTGAGCATGAGAAGGTTTTTTTCTCCCGAGGTAGATGCTTTATGATCATTTATCCTTCGCTGCACTCTCTGTTAAGGACTTTTGTACGTTAAAACTGTTCTTCATGCTGCAGACATCAAGGCTGTAGCAACCATTGTGAAAATATTTTCCTTTTAAAAGAATGGAGAGTAAATTGCTTACATTCAACACTCCACATTACTGTCAGTTTCTAATTCAACTTAATATTTTAAGACATTAAAATATAGATTTTTTTTCTTAAAACCACATTCAGAAATTGTCCATGACTGTGAAAATTGCAAACTACTGGCTTTTGGAGGTGGATTATTGCTTTAAGAGCTGTTGACAGTTTGTTTTCCTCATACAACACGAACTAATCAATAGGAAACACATCTTGCTAAGAGAACCGCCAGCGCGCAGCCACGATTTGGCGCCTCTGCCTCTCCTCCCTCTGCTGTCGCCGTGGCACCCACACCTGGCAGGGCTGGGATGCCACCTTTCACCACCGCTGGACCTCTGGGGTATTCTGCGGCAGGAGGGGTTATCTCTTCAGGAAATATAGTTAGCCACAATTTTATAGTGTGGCTTCCTAAAAAGAGGAAGAATAGATTAATTTCGAAGTCAGCAATCTTATCATAATATCAGCTTGCTAAATATAACAAAGACGATTGCACCTAACAGGACTCTGTGTCTGGGAGTCGGGGGCACCATGTGTGCCCAGCGGTGTGTGTCCAGGACAGGGACGCGGGTGTCCACTGACACGTGGCCTTGGAACAGCCAGTCTGTGTGATTCACTGGTCCCCACCTCAGGAGGGGACAGTGTTGGCCTGTTCTTGTTTTCTCAGTTAAGTTTTTAAAAGCAAGATGTTGTTAAGCAATAGAAAATAAAACGAAGGCAAGGGCAAAAACAA